CTGGTACAATTTTCAAAACTAAACATCTGAACAGATATGAATAAAAATTCAACGTAGATTTTAATAACAAGGCTATATCCAATCTCAAATGCAGACGAAGTCGCAGGTGATAATTTGTATACAATAAAAAGTAGATAAATCCGGTAGGCGTACGAAAAACAGAATGAACGAAGGTGGCTCTATTTCTCAAGTGTGTCGCTATCTTTGTCGCGTGTCCATTGATTATTGCGTCACGGCAGGAAAATATATTGTAGAAAAAGTATTGTTTTTTGTTTTATTTAGGACCTCTATTCTCCCAAATTTGTACTAATACTGAACAGATATTATGACGCACAAAAGCTGGTCCTTACTGTTTGCTTCTGACAAAATTGTAATAGCATATGCTGGGACTCACTCTCTCTCGGAATCTGTATTATTGTAAACATGTACAACCTTATTTGAAAAGAAAATGAGCTGAGTTTTTCGTCAGTTCTCAGCTCGAAAGCACTCCGAACTGACGGTAGATTTGACATATCGTAAGAGTCTGTAATAGAGTTATGTGAATGTATTTTGATTTGATTTAATTGATCACCAACAAATGTTACAATCATACAAATTTGTTTATTTACATGTAATGGGTTGTAATCTAAATGTACAATTATTTATAGGCGAACACGACAGGCAAAGTAACATACAAAAATCATTTTAATCTTATCTTAATCATTGCATTACATAGTATAAAACAAAGTCGCTGTCGCTGTCTGTCCGTCCCTATGTATGCTTAAATCTTTAAAACTAAGCAACGAATTTTCAAGCGGTTTTTAATGTTTATTGAACTAATATTTAGTAGCCTTGACAATATTCTTGCAAAAATAAAATTGCTTAGTAAATACAGCAGCGTTTTGTACACATTTAGTTTATAGTTAAACAATTCAAATAATATTAAACAACAAACAAATAAAACGACATAGTGCGGTAACAAAATAAATTTAAGTCCTTATTGATGCTGATGAAACAATTATCAATTCTAAGTAGTTAGATAATAATTTGTATGTTAAATTGGACACAATCCTTATTTTGCAGAATTATAGTGGGTACATAATAAACTAAGCATATAGCAGTACCAGTACCAAAGAAAGAAAACTACCCCCCGTGATAGTTTTTATTAAAAACTGTGTTACGGCAAGGTAATGAGTCAAGCTCGGTTCATACTAATGATACATTAAAATATAGGCTCTATTGTATTCACTTACAGTTGATTTTTACATTCTATTACTGTTCACATACAACATGAAATAAGCGCGTGATCGTCCAAAGGGGTAAATAACAAACAGTTTTTTTTTAATATATTGTGTGATTCAAGAGGAAAGTTTATATATATATATATATATATATATATATATATATATATATATCTAATGTATACATTAAGAGTATAAATTTCACGCGGCTGAAACTGCGGACACAGCTAGTATTAAATATATTTCAGCGCGGCTTATTGAAGTTACTTGTGACCCGAGAGCTGGTAGCTCTTTTGCCCAAAGGCTAAGTATGGCCATTCAAAGAGGCAACGCTGCCAGTATCTTGGGTACGCTGCCTCGATGTGCCGCGTTGGATTACAATGATTGTTTGTATTGAATTATGAAATTGATAGGCTGTTGATTAAATATTCATATAGATAAAAAAATCTTAAATTAGAAATTTCAGCTAATACGGTTGAAATATCTGCTCCAAAGTATTCAACCGGAACATACTCTGAATATGACGTTCATGCGCTATCATGTGTCATGCCTAGGTGCCTGCCCTATAATTTTATTTAATTTACATTTTTATCAGCAGTAGGTAAGCTCTATTTTGTAGTAACAATATTTCTTCCATGGCACACCCACTTCCTACTATCGCGGATTCGCTATCTCCCCTATCATACGGTAGGCCGTGACGCAAATTAATGTACAATGGAAACACGCGCCAACCCTGACCCGATGCCCTTGTAGGCGCGCCAAGTTCACTGTGTTTATAATACGTAATGAACTTTATTTCTTTCGCAATAAGACTCAATTAATATTCAGTATTGGGGGAAAGTTAAACATTTTTATAGGCTTTATTTTTGTAGTAATAGTGTAAGATCGGACCCAATCGTATTAGTACATAGAAGTGCCTGCGGTTTCGCTCGTGTGAAATAATTAGGTTATGTGTTATTTTAAAATCTAAGCTAAGTTAAATTCTATTAATTAATTAAGAATTTAAAATCTTAGTTTTTGCGTGAAAGAGTAAAAATCATCCGTCCAAACATCTACGCTCACAAACTTCCGCGTTTATAGTACTTTTTTTAATAATGGTTCACCTACCTGCGCTATCGGTTTAACCACGATGAGCATGAGGTCAGGTCAGTCAGCTCATCGTGGTAATTCTACCATGAATTTATCATGACGGTATCAGGAACCGCGTGGAAGTCTACTTAACATAGTACATTGCACATGGACTTTATCTAGCTTAACTTGGGTCTAGTGGCGCTGTGTGAATTGTCCTTAGATTATTATAATCCGATCAAAAACATAAATGTGAAATGATAGCCGAGTTCAATATTATGATATATGCATTGATTGTTGACTTCTACGACAAAAGAGATGAGATCTAAATGGGTGCCAAGTTCAATGGTATGTCCTGAAATGTATTTATAACTATATATAATATCATTTCTTCTTATAACTTAGGATAATATATTGTAGCCTAAGGTCTGACTTGGCTAGTTCTCATATACGAATTATTACTTTCGATGGCTAGTTACTACTAATAATAAAATAGGAATCGACCAGTAACATGTTTAGAACTTGCGAAGGCTACAGTATATTTCGTTATACATAATATACATAGTAAACAAATTGAGTAATACAAACAATCGTATCATATTCATGAATTCATGTTAATATCGTCCGAGAATGAAACCAGCGACGATCGCAAGCAAGGCGGTCAGTTAAACCGCTACACCACTGGGGCCGTCAATAAAAAGTATTACGATATAATTATGATTATATCTCCACAACTCGGGCATTATTCTTTCAGTAATGGTTTCAGGTTTATTTGGATATTCGACGAAATACCTTAAAAGGTCACGTGACTCACTCACAATTCAGGGCATAGAGTGTAGGGTTGGCAGCGATACTGTTATCGTTTTTTTTTTTTATTAAATTCAAATAGTAATAAGCTGACTATATAACTGTTATAACTGTTCTAAAACTTAGGGTTGACTATTTATATATTTATACTTATAGTTTTGCACACTATGTTATGTACATGGACTTAATGACTGATGGCGATTCTCTACCAGTCAACCGTCGCGTTGATCAGAGATAATAACGCGGTGGATTTAATAATAGGTATTAAAATATAAATGCACGTAACTAAACAAAAGTGCCATATTTTATATTGCATTTTACTATACATATAAAAGATCTTGGCCTGTCTTGAACTGCAGTAAGTTCTATATTAGAACGTGTATCTATAGCTGCACTAGCAGGCTACTACCAGATCTGTGTGGGCAGGGAGAGAAACACGAGCGGTGAAGGTGAGTGTTCACGTACGTCGGTAAAGAGCCCGGGATTTGTAGAAGAAGTATCATCTGTATAAATGAACAGCACATCGGTATGTACCCCCCGGGCCGGGGGGTAGAGAATTGTTAGTAATGTGGACTCATGACCCCATTACTAGCAATGTACCATGTCAGGTTGACCTTCACGCGGTTCCCCCAGAAAACCATCGTGATAAATTCTTGGTGAATTTGTCACAATGGGCTAACTCACCTGACCTCATGCTCTCCTTATCATCCTCCACTGGTACCCCGCCAGCGTAAACCGTTAGCACAGGCGGGTGCATCATTCCGTTATCATCCATATAAAAAACCCCGGGCCGGGGTGAAGGGGATGGTTAGTTTTTTTTATACTATGATGGTGGCAATCAAGCATACGGCCAATCTGATGGTAAACGGTTACCGTAGCCTATGAACGCCTGAAACACCAGGGGTATCACGTGCACGTTGCCAACCCTGAAATAGTAATGTGCACTTGACCTCATTGCTACCAATGTACCATGTAAGGTTAACCTCAACGCGGTTCCCTCCGGAAACCATTGGTGCCCTACTAGCGTAAACCGTTAGCGCAGGCGAGTGCACCATTCCATTATGCATAAAAAAACTCATAGGCCCATATATTGACATAGCAATATTTTTAATACCAGCAAGCTTTGAATTCATGACCTTCAGATTGTAATCCACTAGGCCACGACCCTATTAACATCGTAGACAACCCTACAGTTGATGGTTCTGAGAATCAGGCTTGATTTGTTGCTTCAACCCTGACGGGGGCTCTAATGACTGAATCGAAGTGGGGTGAACTGTAGGGGTATAAACAGGCTGGTACTTGATGGTAGATATACGTCATTTGACATAGTTTCTATATCCTAACTGATTGTAGGAATTATATATACACTCGCGAACAAAAATATGTAATCACTTGGAACTGATTCCGCGCAATCTTATAAGTTGTATTTTCTCTATATAATGTTACTAAAGATATACAATAAGCAAATCACAAGTGTTTAATATACATTTTCAATTGTTTCAGATTTATGGCGTCCAGAACAGTAACGAAGCACTGTATACCGTCGCAGACACGTGCCCCCACCAGATCACCCGCCATATTGGAATAACGAAACCAAACCATGCTCTCCGTCAAGCGCCGTCCACCATTCACCCCAATCAACGCTATAAAAACGATAAAAATTAAAAAAAAATCGACCATCGAGCTTAAAAAATATTGCCGACCATGTGTTCCAATTTCAATCCGCTCGGCCCATAAACAACCATAGAGGTTGCCGATTGGATGTTTTTCGAAGCTTTAAAAACTTTTTCGATGTGGTTAATTTTAAAAATCGAATAATATTTGAATTGCCTTCTAGTAATCGTAGTGTATAACTGTGAATGGTCCAAATCCGTAATAGTTTCTGTATTTGAAATTGATGTTTTGAGAAGTTGATGCGGTTTAGAATTCTACTTTACATTGTTTAAGATAAGGTACGTATTTGTTTGTATCCCACTTGTATTTGTAAATGCACATCTGTGCATATAATATAATCTGTAATATTAATCTTAATATGCACATCATATTTATTAAACATAGCCTATCACTCACTAAACGATTACCTACTTAAATGACAAACGTCCATGGCAATAGGTGCTCATGCACGGGATTTTCATTTTAATGTATAGACACCTATATCAAGTACATAATGTAAATAAACTGGCTTATAAAAAAAAGAAATTCATTTGAGTTTCTTGACAGATACTGGGCGGTAGGAAAAAATATATTATGACAAAAAAATGTTTTTCGATCTCTGTTAATTTGAATTTGTTCTTTTTTAACTTTCTTTTTTAATATATTTTACTGACATGGCAATGCACATATTTCTAAGCTGCCAGCTACAATTTTGTTATTATATATAGTATTTTATTGTAAACATGTACAACATTTATTTGAATAGAATACGAGCTGAGTTTCTTGTCATTGCTTCTCATCTCGAAATCATTCCGAACTGACGGTAGATTTGATATATCATAAGAGTCTGTAATAGACCTACATGAATAAAGATATTTTGAATTTGAATAAATTGAGAATTGTCACAAATTCAGTGACCACCTGCCTTCATTTAATGTCATACAACTCTATGGATTTGTATGACATCGATTTTTTTATCATATTTATCTGTATACGAGTAGAATCACACGTATCAAAAGCATTTATCTAAAAAGGTATTTTAAGATAAAATCTGTAACATCGTATCTTCACTTGAGAGTGTTGGGACTGGTCTGCTCTAATCACTACGACTGATTTATTCTTATTTAGTTACTTTACCGAGTTGGTTGTGTATTTAATATTTTGACTCTAATTATTGCTAGTTGGTAGTTTGTATTCACATTTCAACTTAAAAATGTGGTTACAATGATTATTTAAAAGAGCAACACGCATGTTTCTCGCTCGTTCTTCTTGTGATGAGACAGCTTTCCGAATGAGCGGTAGATTAAAAGAATAATAACTATGACTATTCAAGAGTGCTTAAATTAAGTTTATTTGAATAAATGATTTTCTATTCTATTTTATGCTACTACATACTTTGTCAACTATTATTTTGAGTTTAGGATAAGAATGAGGTCAGGTCAGTTTGCCTATAAAATTAAACATATAAAATTTCATCAAAATCGTTTATGCAGTTTCGGAGAAGTATGATCACTAGGTTTTTATATAGATAAAGCACACGACCCGCCTGATAATAATAATAATATATTTATGATAACAATGGTCCATTAAGTTATTGTTATGTACGTTGCAATCTTAAATATCTTTCCTGTTGAGTTGTATGATTTGAGAGGCCTGAGTTACTCGTACACCATCAGTCGAGTCGTATGCTTGATACATTTATATAAAAAATATAGAATGCACTTGAAAATTCACTACAACAATCAGTCAACATCAGTCCAATAACGCCTCTGTCCAATGGGACAGACTTATAGTTTTGAGCTTATAGTTTCAATTGATGTATTGTATACTTTCAGAATAGCAATAAAAAATGGACTCTGAACCTGATAAAAACACCACCAGCTCTGATGAAGCCGGCCATCTCAACAGGAACCGGGTTAGTACAGTTTTTTTATATTCATTCACAGGGCCGGTACCTATGCTAAGTTAATAGTTTCTAAATTGAATTGTCCTAAGATTATTATCATTTCATAGTATAAAATAAAGTCGCTGTCGCCGTCTGTCCCTAAGTATGCTTGGATCTTTAAAACTACGCAACGGATTTTGAAGTAGTTTTTTTAATAGGTATATATATAATACATGTACACGCGTGATGCCGGTCAAGTAGCTAGTTATTATTATAAAGATTAATTCTATATTTACCGTTTAAATTTTCAGAGCTTCAAATCAAAACAGCTGGTGCGAAGCCAAGCCATAAGGGAGTCGCAGTCACCACCGCGCACCGTCTCCCCAGCGGTGGTCGATGACCTCGTAGAGAGAGACAGCAACAGCAACGGTGACATGCGGCCGGCGAGTGCGACAGAGAACATTAGTGACAATTCTAGTCCTATTAGTGATTGCATCGATGTTAGTTATAGTGATAAAAATAATTATAGTGATGATTATAAGAAGCCGCAGCCGGTAGAAATACAGGTGAGATGGTTTTTTATATATCTTCTTGTATATACAAAATTTAGTGTCACAGTAGTTGTCATACGTCTTCGAAACGGCTTGACAGATTTTGATGAAATTTTATGTGTACCCAGTGTCATTGTTTACAAAAAATGTATCTAAGTATTTCTATCAATTGTCTAGTACCCATAACACGAATTCTGCTGAGCTTGGGACAAGATGGCGTTGTGTTAATAGTCCAGGGTAATATCTATACATATAAATAAAATCGGAGTGTCTGTTTGTAATATTGAAATAACCGTTTTTAAACCGTTAATAACACCAAAATAACATTTTTTACAATTTTTGTCTGTCTGTCTGTCGGTCTGTTTGTTCCGACTATTCTCTAAAATGGCTGGACCGATTTTGACGGGAATTTTTTTAGCAGGTAGTTGATGTAACAAGGAATAAGTTAGGCTACTTTTGTTTTAGAAAAAAAAAATCCACGCGGACTAAGTCGCGGGGACAGCTTATTACTATACATGAATTTAAAAAAAAAAAGTGCATTTAAATATTTCTATTAGTTGTCTAGTAACCAGAACACGAGTTCTGTTTAGCTTAGGCTTAGATGGCGCTGTCTAAGGTGATTGTTATTAAAATAAACCATGTTTCTGATCTGCAGATAACGCCAGGGGCCTGGGATGACCAGACCGAACAACGTCAACGCACAAAGCGATGGCTTGGACACAAACACCACTCCGACTCATCACGTGATCTGTTGTCCAACAATCCCAGAGTCGCCTGTGTGTGTGGGACATGCGCCGCCTGCCCGCACTGCAGGTTGGTATATAATTTTTTTGTATTATAACTGGAATAAAAAAAAAAGCTAAAGATCCAACTGATTAGTCAAAAACTTGTCCTTGGTCAGAAATAAAGAAAATAATAAACTTTAGAATTTAATTTGGATTAGAAATTAAAATTGCAATAAATTTTCCTTTATTTATGATTGAGGACATGCTAAATAAATAAATAATGTGTGATGTAATAAATGCTATTCTATTCTAAAAAATTATAACAAGTCACACAATATAAATGTTCTACCCAAGTGATTGTTCAAAAACTTGTCCTCAGAAATAAAGAAAAATTGCAACATAATACTATCTATATTCGATCCAACTAATTATTCTAAAACAAATACTCGGTCAGAAATATAGAAAATTTGCAGCCATATACTGCATTTTTTTAACACAATACTAATATGTTTGTCCCAAGTTCTAAAAATTTTTCTTGATCAGAAATAAAGAAAGTTTGCAGCATATGTCATACTATACATCTATGTTCACCCCAACTGATTGTTCTCAAACTTGTTCTTGGTGAGAAAGACAAAAAAAATTCAGCATATGTCAAATTCAAATTCAAATTCAAAAATCATTTATTCATGTAGGACATTTTAGCCGCTTATGAACGTCTAATTTTTACATTCTAATTTTATTTTTTTCCCTACCGTCCAGTTCGGTATATAGATCCAATTGAGAAGAACCAGCAAGAAACTCAATTGAATTACTTTTTTTTTTATAGGCCATTTTATTTACAATGTATTTTTATATAGGTGTCTATGTCATTAACATTAAATGAAAATTCAGTGCATGAACAACTATTGCCATGCACACTCGTCATTCAAGTAATCGTTTAGTGAGCAATAGGCTTTGCTCAGTAAATATGATTTAACAGATGTTTTGAATTTATTTAAGGGTAATTCCAACATATCCTTTGGTATCTTATTGTAAATTTTTATACCTATTCCCATAAAAGACCTATTAACTTTTTCTAAACGATACTTGGGGACAGCAAGTTTGTCTTTAAATCTAGTATTAATATTATGAATATTGCTGTTTTTTGGAAATAAGTCAAGATTTTTATGAACATATAGGATATTTGGATATATAAATTGAGAAGCAACGGTGAGAATATTTGTCTCTTTGAATTTCTCTCTTAATGAGTCACGACTCTTCATACAGTAGATCGCTCGTTAAAAAATATGTACTTGGTCAGAAATAAAGAAAAATACGACATATGTCCCACATTACATCTATGTTCGTCCCGATTGACTTTTCAAATATTTAACATGAAGGGGGATAAAAAATTAAATAAACATTAAATGTCTTGTTACAGAGGTCGGCGACGGAGACAAGTGTGTCCAACGAAACAGGACTCCGGCATAGTCTGCTCGGACGAGTGCCCCGACTGCTCCGACTCCGAACTAAATGGTCAGTAACCTAATAAATAATTCAGAACAATTCAAACAGCGCCATCTAGTCTCAAACTAAGCACAGCTGGTGTTATGGGTACTAAACAATTGATATAGATGCATAGATACATCTATTTTGTAAATACATACATATTATACATAGAAAACAGCCAGACCGATACAAACAATCATCATCATCTGCTTCTTCCTTATCCCATTTATTTGTGGTCGTCGTAATATGTTTTTCGCTTCCATTCATCTCTGTTCGCAGTCATCGCGTTATTTACCTCCTTTCTTACCATATCATCTTTCACACAGTCCATCCATCTCTTTTTCGGCCTTCCTCTGGCCTTATAGCCATCCACATTAATATGTAACACCTTTCTTATAATATTATCCTCGTTCCTACGCATTACATGTCCATACCATGATAGACGATTATTCTTCAACCTCTCTGACACCGGCGCCACTTTCATACTTCCTCTAATGTATTCATTCTTTATCTTATCCATTCTTGTCACACCGCACATCCACCTCAACATTTTCATTTCACCGATATTAACAATCATCATCAAACTCATGAATATAAATGTTTGTGCCGTATGAGGAATCGAATCCGCGACCATCGGAAGTAAGGCGCTAAACCAGAGACCGGTCACCGGGGTCCCCAAAGTGCGTTGGCCCGCATCTGCCGTATCAATTATACGGCCCTGTATAATTGATACCGTGGTAGCTACGCCCCTGGCTAGTATATATATATAATCGTTACTTGTATTGTTGTAGGTGGTCCAACTAGTGACGGTGTTAGGAAGTCGGACACCGTTGAGATTGATGACCAGAGCTTCTACTGCAGGTAACAGCAAATGTCAAAGGTCAAAAAACTGACATCGAGCTGTACGTGTTGTCACTAATGGCAGGCACAGAATACCAGCGCCGTGACAGTTAGCTGTCACGGCATATGCTGAGTGTCAGCCATGTTGCCAACCATATTTAGAAATAATATAAGATAAATTATTATTGTAATTGTTCTAAGTGTGTATGTATGTATGTATATATGTATATGTAAAAATGGTTGACAATAAATGTTTTTCTTTCTTTCTTCTTCAACAGCAATACTTATATTAATGGAATATTATATATATTTTTGTAAATGCATTCTAGAAATACTAAGATATTTTTATACATACATAATATTCGTAGAAAACACAGAAATTGTTTGCATCGTGTGAGAAACGAACTCGCGACCGTCAGTAAGGCGGTGTGCTAAACCGCTACAGCACTGAGGCCGTCAATATACGTATGCGTTTTTTTTTCTTATGGATGATAATGGAATGGTGCACCCGCCTGCTCTAACGGTTTACGCGGGCACTAGTGGAGGATGATAAGATGAGCATGAGGTCAGGCCAGTTAGCCCATCGTGCCAAATCCACCAAGAACTTATCACGATGGTTTCCAGGGGGAACCGCGTGGAGGTCAACCTGACATGGTACATTGCTAGCAATAGGATCATCAGTCCATATCACTAACAACCCCCTTTCCTCCCATACGTATGCGTTGCATCGTAGTATTCTAATGAAACAATAAAACATAAAGATATATAAACAAGGAATGAATAGAATGACCACCAGCATATGCTATTGCAAAAGCAAAAAGTCTAATCTGTGTTCGTAACCTGAACAGACCAGTCCCCACAAGCAGCAGAGTTCACGAGTATGACGGATGAGCCAGCCATCATTGCACTCAACCATATTGGAGGGAGCACGTTGACCCGACCCACTACGCCGCCACAAGTTTGAACTTTATAACGAGCACGACTGTTTCAAGTTACTCCACTACGTCATTTATATTATTTACAGTATAGAGGCTGTAATAATCACAGTTTTCACCCATTACAATATTTTTCTTTTTTTTTATACCACGTAGGCAAACAAGCATACATCCCATCTGATGGTAAACATATTATTACTCGTTATTTACCTAATATATATATAAATTTAATATTTGTTACAGGTGCCCTGAGCGTAAAGAAGCAATGAAACCAAAGAATTTATCGTTAAGTCGAACAGACTCGGAGGAGAAAACGGAACCAACCGGAATCGAACTGGTGAACTTCATCAAGGAAACGTTGAACAAGAACGCGAGGGATCGCATGACGTTATTGAGGATTGAAAAGGAGTTGCACACGCTTGTTAACGATACTGGGTTGGTATTATTATTATTATTATTATTGGGTGTTAGGTTATTAGGTTAATAATTATTATAATGTTTGATTTTACCTGGAGAAATCTGTTACGGAATACCAGGGGTATCCAGGGGTACTACCAAACTCGTACCGGGTAAAACCCCAAGTTGTACCTCTACCATTTATTGCCGGAGCATTCTTCCGCAAGTCGACTGTGCAAATACGAATTCTCAAATATTTTGGTCACATTAGACGGAACGAATACTGTATGGAGCCGTTAATGATATAAGGTTGAGGGCAGACGTTCTCGGGGTAGACAAGCAACGAGATGGACTGACATTGTAAGAACGGCTACACAGCAGTCCATGGTACAATGTTCTCGTGCAGCCAAAAACCGTACCAGGAGGCAAATTGCAAGGAGCTCTGTCGCTAAGGACCACAACGATACCATACCACAAGGTATACCATCATGAAAGCCACGACCACTCTGCCAAGAGTGAATGACTGAAGAAGAAGATTCTTCCGCAGCTCCGTTGGGTCCCCTATCTCAAGAGACGAGTGGATCTCTTCTCTTGAGATGAAATGAAGATTCTTCAGAAGAAGTAGCGCAGGTACACACGTGCACCTTCTTAGGGCTACGATGTCGACGGGGAAGCAACCCCCACGGCAGCCGCCCCTGGCCCTTGTGGAGGGAGAACAACATATCTTCTGCGTCTAGTATTTTTAATCTGCCACAAGTTTAGCTAAAAACTACAAGGAAATTCAACACAATACTTATTCTTAAGAATTAACTAGCTTTGGAATGAACTTCCTGCCGAGGTTTTCTCACGAGACTACAGCATGGGGTTTTTCAGGAAGGGTATATTAAAGTTTCTTAAGAGTCGGCAACGCGCAGGTGGCACCCCTGTTGTTTCAGGCTACCATAGGCTACGGTAACCGTTTACCATCAGATGGGCCGTATGCTTGTTTACCACTATCAGTGTAAATATGCTGATAGGCACTCTTAAGGGTCGGCAATGTGCACGTGACAACCCTTTTGTTTCAGACGTACATAAGCTACGGTAACCGTTTGCCATCAGATGGGTCATATGCATATGGTAAACATACCTTCATAGATGTAAATACGACCTCGGTGGTCTAGCGGTCTAGCACACCGCTTTACGACCAATGGTTGCGGGTTCGATTCCTCGCATCGCACAATCATTTGTATTCATGAGTATGATTTTTCGTATCGGTCTGGGTGTTTTCTATATATAATATGTATGTATTTACAAAAAAAAAATCTATGTATTTGTATCAGTTATCTAGTACTCATAAAACAAGCTTTACCTAGCTTAACTTGGGTCTAGATGGCTCTGTGTGAATTGTCCTGAGATTGTTATTGTTAAATATTTCCAATAGCTGACTTTTACAGCACCGTGATTGTATGATTTTTTTTGTGTTCCAGCCGGTGTATAGTCCGGTTTCCGGTGATGACGTCATACGGCCGGATGTTGGTCCACCGGTGCGCGTCGCTGTTCCAACTGTCTCACCACCTCGACCAGGTCAACAAGACCTGTGTACTCGTCTCCAAGAGTGGTTAGTGGACTTTATATTAACTTTAGTACCTTTTTATACTATTTTTTTATATATATATTTTACGGCCTTGGCGGTCTAGCGGTTTAGCATACCGCTTTAATTCCGTTGGTCGGGGATTCGAATCCTCGCGTGGTATAAACATTTGTTGTATACATGAGTATGATTGTTCGTATCGGTCTGGGTGTTTTCTATGTATATTATGTATGTATTTATAAAAAAACGGTTACAATATTCCATCAACTGGTCTAGGTGGTTTAGAGGTTTAGTACACCGCTTTACTTCCGATGGTTGCGGGTTCGATTCCTCGCACGTTACAAACATTTGTTGTATACATGAGTATGATTGTTTGTATCGGTCTAGCTATTTTATTTGTATATTAAGTATGTATGTATTTACAAAAAAAACTCTAAAGTAATTATATCCGTTGTCTAGTACCCATAACGCAAGCTCTGCTTACCGTGGGACTAGATGGCGCTGTGTTAATTGTCCAGGGTTATTTTTTTTATTTATTCTACATATATATATCAACAGTTATACTCTATCGGACATTTAGGACCTTATTATGAATGTTTTGTTGTTGTTAGGTACGAGTGGTGGTAGGTTGCCGTGTACCAGCTTCAAGGAGTGGTGTACGAGTACGTTTCCACCGTCACCCCAACGGCACAGCGACACACATGCCAAGTATTACAAATTCTATATTAATATATTAACTAAACCCGATACTTAGTGTTAGGGAAAATACTATATGTGGAAGCGTCTGTCGCATACCTGTAATCTGCGGATTTCTTTGGCTTTTAACACAGGTCAGGGTCTCGATGATTTTTTCTCTAGTTTTCCAATTTCCTAGTAGTTTCACTCAGTTTTAATTTATTTTATTTTTGAAATAATGCGCACGTCATTGCCTCAGTACGGTAAGTTCTGTCATACGCAGGGGGGGGGGGCAGAAACTAACGGACTCTATCTATCTCTATCTAATAATCTAATAATCTGTGCTTACTATGGTACAGGGTACATTTTGAACACTTCGTTACTATATTTTTTTATATGAATAAGTGTAAAAATTTACAATAAGATACCAAAGGATATACTGGAATTACCCTTAAATTCAAAACATATTTACTGAGCACAGCCTGATTTAACATTTGTTTTGAATGTTTCATTTATTACTGTTTGTGTAATGTCAGGTCAATACTGAAGCGAGACACTCATTCCCTGGACGAACCCGGCGGTGGGTCGATGTCGAGCGCCCGCAGCAAATCATTGGAGCAAAGAGAACGGGAGTATGAACGTGTGCGCCGTAGGATATTCAGCACGGTAAGTATTTGTTTTCGTCTTTGTTTACGCCTTTTAGTGAGAAGAGGATCTTGCTGGTGTAATCAAACTCGGAGATTCCAGGCTAGTTTTTTAATTAATTGAAAATAGGTTTACAGTGGTTGCGTGTGATAATGCGTATAATGATCGTTAGCGAATTTTGAATCTGAATTGTAACCGTCGTAATTTTGTCTCTGGCCCACTGAAACCTGACGATGCAGTGTGTATAAAATATAATATTTGGGCCACAAATTAGTGCAACTGCGCCTGAACAGTCTTTTTTTTTTTATTCTTTATTGTACAAAAACACGTGTACAAAAGGCGAGCTTAATGCCATATGGCAATCTCTACCAGCTAACCTTTAGATACAAATAGAATGCGTTGTACAGTAGTGGCAAACTGTGACAATAAAAACTGTAATAGATATAGAAATATAATATACAACTGAAATATACATAAATAAATAAAAGTACTATGTATGATATGGATATAAAAATTACACAGATTAAAATAATATATACACAATAGATATAAATATGATATATAATGTACATATATATAATCTGTATATCTTTCATCGTAGTGAGGAGTTGGTCGGCTCCGTGGATGCTTCTGTTCACCTGTTAAACTGATAAAAATTATAAATTAAAAAAATTCTAATTATAAATATCTTTATTCATGAAGGTCTATTACAGACTCTTCTGATATGTCAAATCTACCGTCAGTTCGGAATGATTTCAAGATGAGGACAACTGAAAAGAAACTCAGCTCGTATTCTTTTAAAAAAAAAATGTATAAATTTACAATAATAAACAGTCATTTAAATTCGGATTTGGGAGAATAGAGTGACCATAAGGATGTGCTATTACAAAAATCTAAATATATAACTCAAAGGTGACTGATATAGTGATCTATCAACGCACAGCCCAGACTACTGGACGGTTCGGGCTGAAATTTGGCATGCAGGTAGATGTTATGACGTAAGCATCCCCCAAGAAAGGATTTTGATTAATTCTACCCCCAAAGGGGATAAATTAACGCGAGCGAAGCCGCGGGCAAAAGCTATTATAATATAAAGAACTGATTTTACTTAAACAACGTTTAACTAAAGTTAGTAATTCGTTTTATAGTAATTGCGTAAGGAGAGTCTGTTGTTAATCTGCCTGAAAAAAATGTAAAAAAAACATCTATTTACATAAACTACAATCCACATTACTAACAATCCCATTCTCCCCTAGCTTGGGACACCTCCGATCGATCCCCCGTCCAATTCAAACGGTGATCGATATTACGACGGCCTGAGCCGAGGTTCGGACCCCTAGCGGTGCCCTCAGACCAAAGTCGTATCCGTCAGGCGGGAGTTGGCCTTCAGCCGCTCCATAAGCCCTTCCTTTGGTTTGGAGTGCCATCTGCACTCGCCCCATAACGTCCGGTGAAGCTGTAAAGGCCAGCTGCGGCCAACAGCATTAGAGTAGTCCGAAAAAAAAAGTAGCTTGGGACTAGATGGCGCCGTGTGAATTCTCCAGGGTTAATATTATTATTATTGCAGGATAACTGCTCACAAGATGAATCTCAGTGGCCGTGGACCAGCTCGGGACCAGTGAAAGTTCTTACGGCCGAAGGTGGAAGGAACAAGTTGTTAAAAGTAAGTTATTAACTTCCTTTCATTCGTATCTTCATGAATGAAAAATTTAAAAAGGTTTTCATAGAAATAATTGTTCCTCTCAGAGAAAGAAAATAACAGTTACATAAATGGAGGTCTAGTGGTTACCACACCACGTCCAATGGTCGCGGGTTCGATTCCTCGCACTGTACAAACATGTATTCATGATTGTTTATATCGGTCTAGGTGCTTTCTATGTATATTATGTATGTATTAACAAAGAAAAAGTATCACTGTATTTGTATCAGTTATCTAGTACCCATAACACAAAACTCTGCTCAGATTGAGACTAGATGTGCGCTATGTGAATTGGCTCTATTGCACCGTGTATTTTGTATGGAAAAGTTCAAAAATATATAATAATTAAACAAAAGTGAGTTACATAACTTAACAGGACTTTATATTACATTGTATTGACAGGTGCAGTCGCTGGAGAGCGCCAGTGGCAGTGGTAGCACGTTGCGGCCACGTGGCGCGGTCTCCAAGAGTCACAGCTTCGGCGGATACGGCGGACACGCCCCCCCACACGCACCCAACGCCAGGCTACTCAGCAGACAAGGTCGGCTACATTCACATGTTTATCATTACATAGTCTAAAACAAAGTCGCTGTCGCTGTCTGTCCGTACCTGTGTATGCTTAAATCTTTAACTACGCAACGGATTTTGAAGCGGTTTTTTTTAATAGATAGAGTGATTCAACAGGAAGGTTTATGTATATAATACATGTATATAATACAACATTTGTGGGGTCTACTAGTATACTAGCTGACCCCGCAGACGTCTTTTGTATATATATGTATATCCATGTAAAGTTTAGTGCTAATAACACTATTAAAAATTGCATATAATATATTAGTTGAAACAAATGTTTTGTCATATAAATTAAAATCGCTATTTATTATAGGGGTTGATGGTAGAAGTGTATAAATTTAGGGTTGTATGTATTTTTTAATGTCACATTTTAAAATTTTAATAAATTTTCATAAAAATAAAAAATGTATATCTACCCCTAGGTAGACAACCCTTATCACTTAGGGGTATGAAAAATATATAGAAGCCGATTCTCAGACCAATAAATATATATGCATATTCGTTACCGTTACCATAACGTTCGTAAAACCGTCGGTTAAACCGCTTCGGAGGAGTCTGGTAGCGCCGCAATGCGAGAATTTTATATATTAGATTGAAATATAAGCGTTTTTTTTAATATAAATCGAACAAACCTACAAAGTTCAAAGGCGAAATATGTGTCGATTCAACGGTCTGAATTTGATCACCAATAAAGAAGGTAATAATCACCAATAAGGAACGACGCTTCCAGTAGCGGTGGTCGGGTTACCGCACTGTATTTTTATGGTCTCACACATGCTAATGGTAGCGGAATAAAATAAAATAATGTAGATCGAATAGAAAATCATTATTGAAATAAACTTACATTGAAGCACTTTTGAATAGTCATCACATATTTTTTATTCTACCGCTCATTCGAAAAGTTGTCTCATCACAAGAAGAATGAGCAAGAAACTTGCGTGTTGCTCTTTTAATAATTTTTATCCTTACTCTACATTTTTAAGTTGAAGTGTGTGAATACAAACTACCAACTAGCACTAATTCAATTAAATACTCAAATAGAGAAAATATTAAAGTACAACCAACTGGTTGAGAACTGTATAAGAGTGAATCAGTTGAGGTGATTTGAGGAAACCAGTCCCTACAAGCAGCACTCGTTCATCAGTATGACGGATCACATTAAATAATTAAATAATTTTAAGCAAAATAACATCTAATTCTATAAAATATGACCAATCAGTAATGCAGGTTGACTTGTATGACATAATGGAGCTTCTAATGAAACTCATAATAAAATAAATATGACCCAGGTATACAAAAAGCAAGTATATATGCAATGCGACTATTCAATGCATCTTGGTGCTATTAAAATACATCAGGCGCTTTAGGCCTGAACACAGGTAATAATGCTGAAATATTGGTATATGAAAAAATATACGGTAAATATCCGTAACAGGTCAAAAATTCAAAATATCTTTATTCTTGTTACATGAATAATACAGACTCTAATGATATGTCAAATCTATATATATATATATATATACTAGCTGTCCCGGCAAACGTTTTGACATATAAATTAATAACGCTATAAAAAAATAGGGGTTGATGATAGAAGGGTGAAAATTTAGGATTGTATGTATTTTTGTATGTTGTATCATAAAAAAATAGAAACTAAAAAATACACATAACAATTTAGGGGTGGACTACCCCTAACATTTAGGGGTATGAAAAATAGATGTTGGCAGATTCTCAGACCTACTCAATACGCTCACAAAATTTCATGAGAATCGGTCAAGCCGTTTCGGAGGAGTATGGGAACGAAAACTGTGACACGAGAATTTTATATACAAGATATATTAATATATATATATATATATATATGCATATGTGCTAAAATCACTATACTACCGACGCCGTCAGATTATGTCTATTTCTTTTAGTTTCAATGTTACGATCAATTCCTTATATATGTATATATAATAACCATATGAAATAGAGAGAGCATGACGTCAGGTCAGTTATCTAATTTCCAAAAAACAGCAATAATCATAATATTAATACTAGATTTAAACACAAACTTGCTGTCCCCAAGTATCGTTTAGAAAAAGTCAATAGGTCTTTTATGGGAATAGGTATAAAAATTTACAATAAGACACCAAAGGATATATTGGAATTACCCTTAAATAAATTCAAAATATCTGTTAAATCATATTTACTGAGCAAAGCCTTACTCACTAAACGATTACTTGAATGACGAGCGTGCAAGGCAATAGTTTTCATGTTCGGGATTTTCATTTAATGTTAGACATAGACACCTATATAAATACCTATGCATTGTAAATAACTGGATTTAAAAAAAAAAGTAATTCAATTGAGTTTCTTGCCAGTTCTTCTCAATTGGATCTATATACCGAACTGGACGGTAGGGAAAAAATTCTAAAGTAAAAACTTGACGTTCATAAGCGGCTAAAATGTCCTACATGAATAAATGATTTAAGAATTTTGAATTTGAATTTTGAATTTTAATATAACTGACTTGACTTCATGCTCTTTCTATCATCCTCTATACGATGCCGGGGCGGGTTGCTAGTAAGCTATATTACTGTAAAGTTTCATCGAAATACGTTCAGTAGTTTTTGTGTGAAATAGTAACATCCGTCCAACTATCCATACATACTCACAAAGTTTCGCGTTTATAATCATCATCATATGCTTCTTCCTTATCCCATTCATTTGTGGTCGGCGTAATGTTTTCTCTTCCATTCATCCCTGTTCGCAGTCATCTCGTTATTTACTCCCTTTCTTACCATATCATCGTTCACACAGTCCATCCATCTCTTTCTGTTGAGAAAACTCTTTTGATATTAATATATTTAAAGTTTTTTTCTATTCTATAATCAAAAATATAAAAACAAAATTATATTGTGTCACTTCAGTATCTACCATCTTACCATTAAATACATTTTTGCAGTCATAAATAGTTTTACTACATATTTCTACAACACTTTCGGTCTACCTCTGCCCTTATAACCATCCATATTCATATGTAACACCTTCCTTAAGATATGATCTTCATTCCTACACATTACATGCCCATACTATAATATTAGTAAGATTAATCTCATGGGTTGGCAGGTGACCTGGCTTCAAGCAGCTGGCGAATCTCCCCATCCAGTTCGGGATACAAGACCCTGAGTTTAAGAAGTACAGACTCTGTCACACCGTCCCCTACCGGTAAATATTACAATCATATATATATATATACATGTAAGGGATAGGTTGGCCAAAACGAAAACAGCTGATTCAGATGAATGATCTGAATGAGATGGCAAAGTATTTTCCCACCGGAAATGCACCACAGCCATATAATTAACGATTCTTAGTTTTGACGCTGCGCAATGTGATTTTACAACGAGAAGTATCGCGGTGATACGTCAGTTCAGAACTGATCAGCGCGGGGAAGGATTTTAAATCGAATTACATTGATGTTTTATGATATATTATTATTTCTTTATATTATTACAGAATATCATAGTTCACATGGTTTTAAAAGAAAAAAGAATTAAAAATTTCCGGTAAGAATTTCCACTGGTTTTCAGTTCAGAATAATGGTCTGAATTCACAATTTCAGTTTTTGCCAACCTCTCCCTTACACCCAGTATACTAGCAGACCCGGCCACGCGTTGCTGTGTCTAAGGTTCTTGAATAAAATAATATTGCGATGTAAGCTATCCTATCTTTCAAGTTGGATCAAATTGCACACAATGTGCAAATCAAATTTGCAATCGGTTCAGTAGTTTAGGAGTCCATCGCGGACAAACAACGTGACTCGTAATTTTTATATATAAAAATGACGGCTTCGGTGTTCTAGTGGTTTAGCACACCCGTTTTACTTCCGATAGTCGCGGGTTCGATTCCTCGCACTGAGCAAAATTTGTATCGGTCTGGGTGTTTTCTATGTATATTATGTATGTATTTACAAAAAAAATCTAATTATTTATATCAGTTGTCTAGTACCCATAAGACAAGCCCTCCACTGTGGGACTAGATGGCAATGAACACAGGTTCATTGTCCAGGGATATTATTATCTATACATATAAATAAAATTGGAGTGTCTGTTTGTAATATTGAAGTAACCATTTTTCACTACATGCATATGAATATAAATACGATACACACACCAAAATAACATTTTTTTACAATGTTTGTCTGTCTGTCTATTTGTTCCGCCTAATATCTGAAATGGCTGGACCGATTTTGACGGGACATTTTTTGGCAGGTAGCTGATGTAATAAAGAGTAACTTAGGCTACTTTTATTTTAGAAAAATAAAGTTTAGTTTTACGCGGATGCAGTCGCGGGTACAGCACAAATATATAGGGAAACTACGATTTGTTATTCACGAAATGTAATATTCTCCCTATACATGAAAAAGTTACTTTATTATTGGCATTAGAACAATATCAATGCAATAAGTATAAGGTTAAAAAAACAACTGAGTATAGCATGAGACAAACAACTATAAATAAGTATATTGAACCGGTGGTATACAACTATTATGGTGAGAGACCAAGAAGGTACATTACGCCACGAATATTCAATAAAATTTATAACGAAAACGATTGTTCAAGTAAAGAAATATTTAAATTTAATTTGAAAAGATGGTTACTCGAGAAAATGCATTAGTATAAGTTCTATATTATAGTTAAATTGTAAATTAAGTATAAGTAAAAATGAGCGTCTTTATTCGCCAACAAACTGCAAAGCAGTTTGGCGATAATTGTAAAAACAAATTGTATATATGTAATCCTTATAAATAAAAAAAAAAAGCTGTTTATAAAATGAAACTTGAAGCGTATTCTAAAATAGTGGTATATTACAGGTGGAGCCAGTCCGGAGCTCGGCTCAGGAGTAGTAGGAGTGGAAAGTTGCTCACCGGGACCTGCGGGCCCCGCAGACGGCGGTGTGGTATGGGCCGTCACAGACATGTCGGCCGTGCCGCCTGGAGCACTCGTCATACACCCCCAGGTATACAAGATCGCCTATTGACTAATCGTGGCAGTATTACTTCACCGCACTCGTCATACACCCCCAAGTATACTAGATCGCCTATCGACTAATCGTGGCAGTATAACTTCACAGCACTCGTCATACACCCCCAGGTATACTAGATCGCCTATTGACTAATCGTGGCAGTATAACTTCACCGCACTCATCATACACCCCAAGGTATACTAGATCGCCTATTGACTAAACGTGGCAGTATAGCTTCACCGCACTCGTCATACACTCCCAGGTATACTAGATCGCCTATTGACTAATCGTGGCAGTATAACATCACCGCACTCGTCATACACTCCCAGGTATACTAGATCGCCTATTGACTAATCGTGGCAGTATAACATCACCGCACTCGTCATACACCCCCAGGTATACTAGATCGCCTATTGACTAATCGTGGCAGTATAACTTCACCGCACTCGTCATACACTCCCAGGTATACTAGATCGCCTATTGACTAATCGTGGCAGTATTACTTCACCGCACTCATCATACACCCCCAGGTATACTAGATCGCCTATTGTCTAATCGTGGCAGTATAACATCACCGCACTCGTCATACACCCCCAGGTATACTAGATCGCCTATTGACTAAACGTGGCAGTATAGCTTCACCGCACTCGTCATACACCCCCAGGTATACTAGATCGCCTATTGACTAATCGTGGCAGTATAACTTCACCGCACTCGTCATACACCCCCAGGTATACTAGAGCGCCTATTGACTAATCGTGGCAGTATAACATCACCGCACTCGTCATACACCCCCAGGTATACTAGATCGCCTATTGACTAATCGTGGCAGTATAACATCACCGCACTCGTCATACACCCCCAGGTATACTAGATCGCCTATTGACTAATCGTGGCAGTATAACTTCACCGCACTCGTCATACACTCCCAGGTATACTAGATCGCCTATTGACTAATCGTGGCAGTATAACTTCACAGCACTCGTCATACACCCCCAGGTATACTAGATCGCCTATTGTCTAATCGTGGCAGTATAACATCACCGCACTCGTCATACACCCCCAGGTATACTAGATCGCCTATTGACTAATCGTGGCAGTATAACCTCACCGCACTCGTCAGACACCCCAGATTAATAAAAGATGTTTAATTAAAAACTTTATAAGATCTATGTATAAAATCTGTCTATTTAACTTTGTAATTCTAGTTTCATATTACAGACGGGCCGACCGCTGACCAACCCGGATGGTACCATCTACCATTTCGACCCAGCCAACCCTCCAATACTTTACGACCCAAGTGTATACGTGCCGGGTGAAAAGGTAAGTCCATAGACAATATTTAGTTGTTATACGTTCCGGCCTGCTGTTTTGTATGGATCAGAGTGCTGGTCCATAAAGGCGAAGGATGAGAGGCGACTGCATGCAACTGAAATGAGAATGTTGAGGTGGATGTGTGGTGTGACAAGAATGGATAAGATAAAGAATGAATACATTGGAGGAAGTATGAAAGTGGCGCCGGTGTCGGAGAGGTTGAAGAGTAATCGTCTATCGTGGTATGAGCATGTAATGCGTAGGAGCGAGGATAATATTTTAAGAAAGGTGTTACATATGAATGTGGATGGTTATAAGAGCATAGGAAGGCCGAAAAAGAGATGGATGGACTGTGTGAAAGATGATATGGTAAGAAAGGAAGTAAATAACGAAATGACTGCGAACAGGGATGAATGGAAGAGAAAAATATATTATGACAACCACAAATAAATAGGATAAGGAAGAAGCAGATGATGATGACGGTCTAGCTGACTTGTACCCACTTCGTTTAGCGGTAAACGAAGAAACTGATAGTTTTCGATCGTCGAGATTAGCAAATTATTGACTACTGATCACTATCACTACATAATATAAAAGAATATAAAACAAAGTCGCTGTCGCTGTCTGTTCGTCCCTATATATGCTTAAATTTTTAAAACTATGCAACGGATTTTAACCTTTTTTTTAATAGATAGAGTGATTCAAGAGGAAGGTCTATATATGTAATACATGCATAATATTGTAGAGAAACACTGATAAATTTAGATGTTTCTAATGTGATGTCGTAAATTAACACATTTTTTGCGCTTACATTGCAAACGTTGGCTGAACCCCACGAGATAAATCAAAATAATGTACTACAGTATTCTAGACCTTAAAAAGGTCAACAAAAACGTCCGCGATGGTATACGTCTATCTCTTAAGGATAACCCACAATAACCATTTTTGTATGCTTTACATTTTCTGGGAAAAAATGGCTCATTTACGAAGTGATTTTAAACAATACAGTACCTTAAATACATTGTCCATTTAATATACATTGTATATTTATATATCTATGTATGTATATATTTTATAAATCTATCATAAGACCTGTCATAATGTATGGATCTGAATGTTGGGCCGTAAAGGGGATGGACGAAAGACGTGTGCATGTGGCAGAAATGCGAATGTTAAGATGGATGTGTGGGGTTACCAGGAATGACAGAATAAGGAATGTGTATATACGAGGAAGTTTGAAAATCGCGCCGGTTATAGAAAAGTTGCGAGGTAACAGATTGAGCTGGTATGGGCATGTTATGCGGAGGAACGAGGACCATGTCTTATGGAAAGTGTATAATATGAATGTGGATGGATGTAAAGGGAGGGGACGCCCTAAGAAAAGATGGATAGATTGTGTGAAAGATGATATGAATAAAAGAAGAGTATGTTTAGATATGACGACCGATAGAGAGCAGTGGAAGAGAATGACATACTGCGCCGACCCCAAATAATGGGATAAAGGCAAGGCAATGATGATGTATGTATATATTTTATATATAGTATATATAATGTGTGTTATTTTCTAATATTTATTGGTATTATTATCCCATCCCTATTATAACGTTTATATATATATTCTTCCATTCTATTCAAGCGCCACCTACCACTTTTGTTGTATTTTCTCTACCTAAAGGTTGTCTGGAAGAGATTGCTACTAGCGATAAGACCGCCTTTTGTACTTCCATATCTCTTTTCTGTATAATTCTTATGTATTAATTCTATTGGTGCAATAAAGAGTTTATATATCTATACTGTTTTAAACTTGACGCGGTCATTATTTATACGTATTCAACCACCATGATCACGGGTAAACTGATCATGGTGACCAGTTTACCCGTGATCATAGTGGTTGAAACACTACCGAAATATCGGGAACTCAGCAAATAAATATAAAACGTGGTAAGATCTCGTGGTTTTTACTAATTATACGTATATATATCTATAGTTTATAATACGGACCTTTCCGGCATGTAATTTAAATGAATATTTCCGAAGATATTACAGATTTAAAATGCAGGACATAGCGGTGTGACGGTACTGGCATTTAGGTTTAGTATCAGCATTGCACCCGTGCGAAGCCGGGGCAAGTCGCTGTTATCTATATAAGTAAAAATATTTATTTATTTATTTATTTATTTAGGACGATTAACGGTGTAATTTTACATGTTACTTGTCATATCAAATTGTCCTATGCCAATGAATAATCATCGCCAATATCGCCTATATAATATAGCTTATAACATAGGAGTTTATGTATGTAAGTTGTATGTATTTTTTAATGATTAATCATCGTAATTCATCATCATCAACTCATCGTACTAAAGCATCTCTGTATAATAGTATATTTTTTATCGTTTTATCCCCAACTACTCATGGTCCTCGGGAATTTTATCGTTTTATCACCTCATTTATTACTCATGGTCCTCAGAAAGATCTCTGGATCTACTGAACCGATTTTGAAAATACTTTTACTATTGGATAGACCATATATCGAGCATGCCTACAGGCTATATAACATCACGCTACAACCAATAGGAGCGGAGCTGCAATCAATTGTTGCAAATACGAAGAAAATGTGACTCATACGCGAAGTTGTGACGGTCAGCTAGTCATGTATTTGTAAATATATCCCTTTGGTGTGAATGAACCTTTATCTCTTTGTATCTATAAATATGACATTTGTCATATATTTATTTACTGCGCAGTTCGAGTCGATGTAGCATACCTACGGAAATAAAACATGAAACATCCGTCGGGAAGAAGTTGGCCTTCAGCCGCTCCATAAGTCCTTCCTTTGGTTTGGAGTGCCATCTGCACTCGCCCCTATCGTTCGGTGAATCTGTAAAAGCCAGCTGCGACCAACAGCATTAGAGTAGACTGAAAAATTACTATTTAATAAAAATAATTATTCTTATGTTTTTACAATATTCAATCTATGACTTACTTCTCGTATAACCTATTTGTTTGTCCGATTGGAATACAATTTGAATTGAGGTTTACCACAATACAATACAATGTAAACTTACAAGGACAATAAAAAAACATACAATAGAAAATCATTTATTCAAATAAACTTAATTTAAGCACTTTTGAATAGTCAACATTTTTTTAAATCTACCGCTTTTTCGGAAAGCTGTCTCATCACAAGAAGAATAAGCAAGAAACTTGTGTGTTGCTCTTTTAAACAATCCTTGTAAGTTCACATTTTACATGTCGAAACGTGTGAATACAAACTACCAACCAGCACTAATTTATTTAGGCTCAAATATAAAAACACAATAAGATTAAATCAGTCGTAGTGATAAGAGCAGACCAGTCCCTACAAGCAGCACTCGTTCACGAGTTCACGGATGAGCCAGCCATCACTGCGCTCGACCATATTTTAGAGCCTAATGACCCGGCCCACCACGCCGCCACATGTCTGGACATTTTAGTGAGCATGACTACTCATTCCACTCGACCACGTCACAGCTACAAATTATATCGTATCAAACCTACCAGTCTATTATTTGGCCAAACCAATACAACCTATTTCAAACGCCAAGCAGCTTGGTTTCAGAGGAGCTTCCTCCCGCGTACACTTAGATTGTGGAATGAACTACCTGCCGAGGTTTTCTCGAGAGACTACAGCATGGGGTTTTTCAAGAGTATATTAAGGTTTCTTAAGGGTCGGCAACGCGTATGTGACACCCCTGGTGTTTCAGGCGTCCATAGGCTACGGTAACCGTTTACCATCAGATGGGCCGTATGCTTGTTTGCCACCTAAGTGGTATAAAAAAAAAGCTTGCTTTGTAAGACATAATTTAGTTGTAAGCTACAAATACGGTACGAGAAATAACGCAGAGTAAATTTGTTCAACCGAGAGCTATGAAAGCACCGCGATATTTGTTTCCAAAAATATATAACAATTTAGACGTGACACAACAAAATTCAACTTTATGCAGACCAGTACTGAAGTCGAAATTAAAAGAGCACTTATAGGTATAGTTAAAAAAATAATTTGTACATAGATTAATGTTAAATTTCTGTAACAATGTGTATCATTACATAGTATAAAACAAAGTCGCTGTCGCTGTCTGTCCCTATGTATGCTTAAAGTTAAAAAAATAATTTGTACATAGATTAATGTTAAATTTCTGTAACAATGTATATCATTACATAGTATAAAACAAAGTCGCTGTCGCTGTCTGTCCCTATGTATGCTTAAAGTTAAAAAAATAATTTGTACATAGATTAATGTTAAATTTCTGTAACAATGTATATCATTACATAGTATAAAACAAAGTCGCTGTCGCTGTCTGTCCCTATGTATGCTTAAATCTTTAAAACTACGCAACGGATTTTAAGGGTTTTTTATATATAGTGATTCAAGAGGAAGGTTTATATGTATAATACATGTACACCCGTGCGAAGCTGGGGTAAGTACCTAGTTTATGTATATAGTGTGCTAACTGACTTGACCTCATGTTCATCTTATCATCCTCCACTGGTACCCCGCCTATACCGAGCCTATACCGATAGCGCAGACTAGTGCACCATTACATTATCAAACAATATCTAGGTAGATAAGTATTAAGAAAACTGAGCTATATCATGCCAACAAACTGTTATGCAGTTTGGCGAGGCATTGTATAAAAATAAATGTAGGTACCTATCTTTATTAAATAAATGAATAAACAACATGGTATGGCTATCGGCTCAGTGTATACATTACCAGCTACTCGCCCCGGCTTCGCACTTCCTCTTGAATCACTATATCTATTAAAAAACCGCTTCAAAATCAGTTTTAAAGATATATATATATATATAAACATTCCTCTTGAATCACTATATCTATTAAAAATCGCAACAAAATCCGTTGCGTAGTTTTAAAGATTTAAGTATACATAAAGACGGATAGAGAGCGACAGCGACTTTGTTTTATACTATTTAATGATGATGAGTAATAGTTAATAATTACCCAAATA